TAAATTACTTATACTAACGCACTTTGTTTATGTTTTTTGTAGAGGTCTTTCAACATTGATGACAAAAGAAAAGATTATTGTCTTGGATTGGCCGGCAAAATACTAAGAGGGTTTAGAACATATTTAAACAGAAAATATCTTAGAGATGCCGAAAAAAATTTGTTGATGCAGAGCATCCAGCAGAATATGCGGATGTGATTTCAGTTAAAGAATGGGATGTTTTTAAAGCCAAACGGAAAACCCCAAAATTTCAGAGTGTAAGTGAAGTAAATCGTCTAAGAGCATCATCTCCCGCATATCCATACAAAAAAGGGCGTTTGGGATATGCACGATTAGAACAAAAAATAGTAAGTATTTACAAATTGCAATGATATACTTGTTCATCAATAGTTATAAATGAGCTAGTTTTTTGTGTTAATGTGTAGTTAAAAGAGGAGAGTAGTTCGGAAACATCTCTTCCGGAGCATGTTTTATGGAAGGCTACCCGTGTGGGTAAGGATGGAGTTCTTAAAGAAGATGTACAACAAATTTTTGAAAAATGCGTAAGTATATATAACATTAATTCTAATTAAATCAAAATTTTATTAACATATAGTATTCATGTTTTTCCAATATTCATATGAATTTCAGGAGAGTCTGTCTCAGTCTACATCTCCACCAGATGATTGCAGGAGCATACTTAGTCGAGCATTAGATGTTCGTGAGTATTCTGGTCGGGTGAGGGGTAAAGGACACGGGGTTACTCCAAGCTCCTTGAAAAAGAACAATCCAAAGACAAAATCTGCTAGCAATAAAGAACTCCAAGAAAGGTTGGATGCATTAGAAGCTGAAGTTCTTGAATTAAGGAAGGAAAATGCAAGACAATACCAATCAGAAAGGGAAGCTTCGGGTGTTAAAGAAGCTACTGACATAGCTAGTGTCAATTGTGCAGCTCAACCGAGTATTCCTGAGGTACTTACATATATTATTATGAAATTAAATTAGTGTAATTTATTTAACTGACATATATACACATTAACGATGTCATATTTATTATTGATTTTAGGGCATTTCACCTTGTCAACTCTTTTTAGAGACACCAACTTATTGCATGGTTGGCAAGGGAAAAGTCCATAACACTCTGGGAGAAGTACTTCATCATAAACCGCTCCCTTCTGGATATTTGAAAGTGTCGATTAATATTGCTTTAGAGGAGGGTGCGTTATTACCAATCCCAGATGAAGTTTCAGATGCAACATTGGTGGGAGAGGCAATAGGAGCGTTTGTTGCATGGCCGTCAAGGCTTGTTCGCATAGATGATGAGGTATAATTAAAACCGTTATGAACCTTTTAGTACTCAAATTTTTTACGTTCATTTTACTTACATTTTTTTGCATGGTAATGTTAGACTCCTACAAAACCCAAACCAAAAGAGGCAGGGATTACGCGGCCAAAGGAGTCAGTGACAGGAAAAAAACAGGTACAACATAATTATATGATATTTATGCTTAGATAATGTTAATTTGTCGTCCTATACTTGACCACTCTAATTTTATGATATTTAGATTATTCCTGCTAAAGAGATTGAAGCTGTAAGTATGGGTAAGGAGCCTGTAATTAGCAACATTCCCACAGAAACAAAGAGTATTTCTAAGAGGACCGGGGCTAGAAAGAAAACTACTTCACAATATAGGTCGTGCCTTCATACATTTATAAGCTTCACAACTATTTCGCAAGGTGGTACTTCTCTTATACCCCTGGATGAAGGGATTTATAGTTCTGAAGGCATGACAGCAATTGGTAAGGAGGATTTGGAAGAAGTTTTTGGACACTTGACATTAGGCATGGCTGTTATAAATACATACATCAGGTATACTCCAATAAACTTTGTTTAATTAATTGCATAATTTATTTACTCATTTCAGTGAATAATTAATATTAATGATGTTTTTATTTAAGGTTTCTGTATGACAAGTTGATTCGCCCGCGTGGATTAGAGTCCAGATTTGCTTTCATAAATCCCAACATTGTCCACGCAGGGTCAATAATCTCAAAACCATATGAAGTAATAGCATTTGTGCTCAGTTTATTTATGGCCATCAAAGATACAGAAAAATTGTTCTTTTTACCATATAATACTGGCCCCAAGTAAGATTTTCATTCTAAATTTCCTCTATTATAATTTTTCGTTTTTTAACGTTGTGCAGAAAATTTCCATCTAACCTTTGTTTAATATTGCAGTGGACACTGGTTATTGGTTGCAATTAATCATGTGAGAGAAATTGTATATTATCTGGATTCATTGGGCAATGATTGGACAACATACCCAGATATGAAGAAGACGATTGACACGTAAGTGAGATTGTTCCAAAATATTAATGTGTATATTTAATTATTTATGTGCGATAGTTCTAAATATTCGTTATTATTTTATTATAGCATTCTACAAAGTTTTCGAGCACAAAGAGATATTCAAGTACCAAGGAGTAGAGTCAACAATATTTCTTGGATCAAAGTGGAGGTATAGATTTTCACAGTTTTGATTATATAGCGATGATACTTGATAAAACAAGTTAAAGTGTATATCTTGATGTATATCCGTATTTTCTTTCCATGTGTAGTGTCCTCGTCAGTGCAATGGTGTAGATTGCGATTATTTTATGTTGAGGTTTATGAAAGAAACTATTCTTTTAGGCCGATTAGAGATTCCATCCACGGTATGAATTTCTAACTTATGAATTATTTTCATATTTCTCATAAAATGACTTAGTATTTTAATTAAATCATACTATGTTATATTATTATGTAGTACTTTGATGAATTCAAGTGTGCTTCATACTCAAAAGATCAATTGGATGAACTTATGGAGGATTGGTGCCAATTTGTTATGGAGTTGAGAGTTTTATTATAAGGTATAACTTTGAGTTTTGAGAATATAATATATATCGTTATAGTTGTGTTACAATATTATTGTTTTTGTTGTTGTTATTTGGTAACTTGTATGAATTTTGATTTTTTGATTTTGTTTTAGGTTATATAGGTGCAACTCGATGTAAAAGATAGAGTTATATATTCATCGTTGATTTTGTTTCATTGTTGTATATACTAATGTTGTTGTTGTGTATATTGTGCAAAAAGGAGTGAAGAGATGAATATTGATGTAGTTATAATATTGTTTTATTGTTGTATATACTAATGTTGTTGTTGTGTATATTGTGCAAAAAGGATTGAAGAGATGAATATTGATGTTGTTATAATATTGTTTCATTGTGGTATATATTAATGTTGTTGTTGTGTATATTGTACAAAAAGGATTTAAGAGATGAATATTGATGTTGTTATAATATTGTTTCATTGTGGTATATTGATGTTGTTGTTGTTTAAAATGTTATAATGAAGCTATAATTTCTGGTGCAAAAATGGTGAGATTAAATTTGATAGGCAGCGTTTTGTTTTAAATGGAAAAAAAAATTATTTAAAAAAATATTAAGAAAAAGCACTGCTAAAGGGGGGAATAGACAACGCTTTTAATGAGAAGCGCTGTCTAAAGTGATTGAAAAAAATATTTTAAAAAAATAATAAGGAAAAGCGCTGCTAAAGGATGGGGAATAGACAGCGCTTTTCATGAAAGCGCTGTCTAAAGTGATTGAAAAAAAATAATAAGGAAAAGCGCTGCTAAAGAGGGGGGGGGGGGGGGAATAGACAGCGCTGTCTAAAGTGATTGAAAATTTTTTTTAAAAAAATAATAAGGAAAAACACTGCTAAAGGGGGGTAATAGACAGCGCTTTCCATAAAAGCGCTGTCTAAAGTGATTGAAAAAAAAAGTTCAAAAATAATAAGGAAAAGCGCTGCTAAAGGGGGGAATAGACAGCGCTTGATAAAAGCGCTGACTAAAGTTCCACATTAAAAACGCTGTCTATACCTTTAGCAGCGGAGGTTTTAGCAGCGCTTTTAAGCGCTGTTAAAGGCCTAAAAAAGCGTTGTCTAATCCCTTGTTTGACATAGTGTCATAACATAGAAACCCTTGTTCTTAATTACTAGATAGAAAAACATTTTTGCATCTTGAATCAAGGAGACTTGAAGATTGGTGTTCATCAACATCCATTTTTTATTTATTGATCAAGGTATCATGACCATGAGTAACTAAGCATCTTTTGTGTCAAGGTTAGAAGTAGTTAACCTAGACTTTATGTATTTCTTTTGATCATTTTGTATATGAACTTGGTATATGATTAATACATGTTGAATATCTTTGTTATCATTGTTCTTTTTATGGTTTGGATCATTATTGAGAAGTAAGTTTCAAGTTTGACCTAAGATATTCATCTACTAATAAGCAAGCTCTAGACATAGATTTGTGATTTAGTATTCACTTGTATCAAGCTTTAAAAATTATCATGTTAATAGTTAGGTTGAGAGATCATTTAATGATTAACATGATAATACTCACAATATTGTTTAGACATGAGAAATATTAAGAGGATACATGAATGATCGGTCATTAATTAGTTCATATGCGTGATTAATCGAATATATTTGGAATAGGTTGATGAAAACTAATCTTGACATGCCTTTTATCAAAAACGAGCCTTTTCAAACAAAAACCTCTCTTTTATCCAAATCACAATATAGTGCATGAAACTTAATCTTTTGTTACTAAAAGCAAATACCAAAACTTTGTTTATGATTCAAACACTTAAAGTCACTAAAATTATAGAACGTCATTAATATCACACCAATTCTTGAGGAAAACGATAATATAAATACTTGTGTTGAAAATACTTTACAACAACAATATGATGGAATAACTTGCACAACAAGTTTTATACAAAACATGCTGACATGCATGAGAAAGCACCTGATTACAATTTTCATCATATATAATAAGACGTACATAATACTGTGTTGATACAAATCTACTATCTTTCATATTCGGCATCATGGACCACAACTTTTTTATTCATTCATTCACGTGATAGCACAACAAAACATGTTTACCCCAAATCAGAGATTACTTGGCATCATAGCAAAGATGTATCACCCTCAATTTCCATAATAACCTTTGGTTCCGTAGGTTTATTTTTCAGAAAACTTGAGTACCATTTAGCAGAGAGTTTAGGATGTCTCTTCAAGTCTGGATCTTTCAAATCTGTGTAGTATAGGCCTAAGCTTACTTCATATCCAGTAAGTATTTCAAACACATCCATAAAGGACCATACAAAATAGCCTTTTATATTTGATCCACTCCTTATTGATTTAGCTATGGCCCCAATATATTTCTGCAAGTACTTTATCCTAGAAAAATCATTCAATGATGAATTATGAGGTGTTTTGTGGCCTGCAATAAAAATATTTGTCATACAAATAAATCAATATTAAGAAGATTTTGAAAGAATGAAATGATCATGAAGTATATTGGAAAATGTACCATTTTCATGTATGTATATTGGAACATTTCCATAATCATTCTTCAAGGAATCTAGCACCTATTGAAAATTCCAGGTTGTAGTCAGAAACTAAACCAATCATAAGGAAATGAAAAGGAGAAGAGGATCTTGTTACTAAAATTATGTTACCAGATCTATAGATGTATCATTTTCAGGAAGCACTACAACAAGAAAGAACATTTATAAGTAATTTGGTAAATCTACATATAGAACTGGTTATGCAGTTAGAAAAGAGTAGAAAAATAACTTATAGCATACTTGTAATTTGTGCTGCAAAATCTGGCATGAAATCTATAGCTTCCGTGTTCAAGCTTTCGGGATAGCTGTTAACAGAAAACGTGTTGTAAAAGTTTATTCCTAAGAAGTCAAATGAGTTTCTGATCATATTTGATTCCTTTTTAGTGAAGGAAGGAAGCCTTGAGCCAACATTCCTTTTCATTATATCAGGATAATCACCAAATGTTAATGGATTTAGTACCCTGCAATAATAAATGATGTTAAGAATCAATCATCATCAATTTGTATCAATTATAATCAATTGTATTTATTGTATTACCCTATTGTATATAATTCATACAAATATAAATAAACCATAGTGTGATCTCATTAGACACGCAACATTATACATAATTTTTTTTCAATATGATATCAGAATTTAAGAGTTTCATAATCCTTTCATTTGTTCCAGGTCTCTATTCTCCGCCCTATATAGTTATGGTGTTGGTCTCTATTCTCCGCCACTACACATCTAATCATTGTCGCACCGCCACCACTAGGTCTGGAACATTCTGGCAAAACCAGCGCCACAACGCCTACCTTCAGTCGATGTCACACACGCCCTCACGCACGACTATAGTCCCGGTGCGTGAGCCCCACATGCACTGCATCTGATCCGCTTTCTGGCACAATTTCGCTCCTTTTCATTGTTCGTTCTAACCGTCAGTGTCCTCCCCACCACTAAGAAACCTTGAATTTGAGTTTTTCATCCATCAACTATCATGGGAGATCCATCTACAACCGATTCTATCAATTTTACCGAAGTTTCGCTCATCCTGTGCAAGAAACTAATTGAGACAGCCAACTACAATATATGGGCCGACAACGTCAAGTTATAGTTTAGTGGTCAAGAAATTGAAAATCACTTGACCAAACAATTGAAGGACATTATTTTCGATCATCACACTAAATGGAAGAAAACAGATGCCTCTTTATGCACCGTGTTGTGGTTTTCTATAACGCCCAACAATCAAGTGTAATATCAAGCCTTTACCTCTTGTTATGAGGTTTGGGAAAAGTCTAAGAAAGTTTTATTGAATGATGCCCATTGTCTCTATAGTGTCATCATTAATTTAACTCTTTGAAATTAAAGAATATGGATATGAAAGCATATATGAGTAAGCTTGATTCGTTGAAGGCTAACTTTTCAACCCTAATGCCATTTACAAATGATGCAACAACTCATGAACAACAACTCAACAAGTTTTTCATGATCATGACACTTATAAGAATGCCATCAAAACTTAATTCCATATGTAACCATATTTTATTGGGATCTTCTGTTCCTAACTACTAATCAGTTAGTGAACAATTGTTCCTCTTGGATACTCCTCATGCTTTTGGATAGGTCTATACTCCATCTTCCACTGAATTATTTTCTCTTGTTTTCCATTACCATAGTTGTGGTGGACGAAACTGAGGAAGTGATGGCCACTTCCATGGTATTCATTGTAATTATTGCAATCATTACAATCATATTGGAGTTGAATGGCGTGCAAAGGCAAGAGAATAGCAACGACAACCTAGGGTTGCTACTGTTTCTCAACCGACTATTACTAAAGATGTTACTATTTCCTCTACTGATTACGATGAGTTCATCAAGTTCAAATAAGACCATCAACCATCATCTTCCATTGTCGTTACTCAGTCTAGAAATATTGTATCCTTTGTCTCTACATCATCCCTTAGTCCTCGAGTCCTTGACTTTGGTGCCTTTGATCATATGACTGATAATAAATCTATTTTATCTAACTTTCCTTATATGATTTTTTGTCTTTTGTCACTATGGCAGATGCCACTAAAATCAAAGTTCAAGGCTTTGGTCACGCACACTCACTCATACTCTTGATTGTTCAGTTCTTTTTATTGATAATTCTATTTATTTTCATGATCGACGAACATGATAGAGTATTGGAGCAGGGAGTGAGTCTGGGGGATTATATCATCTATCTCCATCTGTGGCATGTGATTCCATTGATTCTTAAAGCCTTACACATCAAGGTTTGGGTCATCATAGCGTTAATAAAATGTGTCTTTTACTTCCTAGTTTTAGGACATTATTACTTTGTAACTTTCATCGATGATTTTTCACGATGTACTTGGTTATTTTTAATGAAAAATCGTTAAGTGTTTTCCATATATTCCAAGAATTTTATGCCAAAATTAAAAACCAATTTGACACTTCCATTAAATCTTACACGCTGATAATGCTCGTGAATATATGTCATCCCAGTTTCAATCTTTTTTAACATCATAAGAAATTATCCATCAATCATCATGTGCCTACACACCATAACAAAACGGTGTCGCTGAACGGAAGAATCATCATTTAGTTGAAACTACACAAACTCTTTTACCTAACCACAATGTCCCTTCTCATTTTTGGGGAGATTCTCTTTTCACATATTGTCACCTTATCAATCGAATATCCTCATCGGTCCTTCAAGATCATATTCCATACTCTATCTTAAACCTACAACATGATCTTTTACTTCACATGAAAATGATATTCCAATAGCATTATGAAAAGGTATTTGATATCGTCACCCTAATCCTAAATATACTTGTGTTTTAAATTTTGATTGTTTATCTGCTTCCTATGTTTATTTTGCTTCTTCTTTGGATTCTGTGTATATTCCTAAGTCTGCAAGTGAAGCTATGAGTTATCCGAATTGGCATCAAGCACGATGGTGGAAGAAAAGGTTGAATTGAGTTCAAATATTACAAAGGACATTGTCTCTTTACATAAAAACAAAACTACGACGGGATGTCGATGGGTTTATACAGTGAAAGTTGGACCACATGGTCAGATGGATCATTTCCAAGCTCGTTTGGTAGCTAAAATATACATATAAGTATTGAAGGTGTGAAGAAAACGCAAGAAAGGGGGGTTTGAATTGGGTTTTTCTTTCTTGTATAACTTTCGCTTTTAAGCATTATTCGTTGAAAAATGCTTCTGATTGTTACTTCTAAGTAATGCCTCTAATTAAGTTCAGAAAACATAAACTCTAAAGCATAAGCAAAATTAAAGAACACGCGATATATCCTGGTTCACTTGAGAAATCCCCAAGCTAGTCTGGTCCATCCTTCCGAGGTGATTTCACCTTGATCTCAAGAACTTAATCCACTATAACCAATCTGATTATAATCGCACGGGAAACTGCTGGTGACTAACATCTAATGACGCATTCAGGTATTCAGACTGGATATAACGTTCATTAACCCAATAGAATCTGATTCACCAAAATCTCCTACCAAGATTTCCTTCCAATGATATCCATCAGTGATCCCAGAAGGCTGACCTTCACTCATTCCTATTTGATATTTGAATACCATTGACCCAATATAATCCACTACCAGGATTTCATCTATGATGGTCGCAGCCAAAGTCTTCTCAAGTCTTCTGATCTTCACTCGATCACTTGAGGAACCATCCAATTCTAAATATAATTTTTTTTCTGGAGATTACATGAGTGCTTCTTATCAAGCAGATTACTTCTAATTTAAGTACATATTATTTGACACAATTCTGAGTAGAAACTCTTGTGTACAAACAATTTACATGAAGATCTTAAGCAATAACATAATATGAGCAACAACTCTTGTGTTTTACATATTTCTACAAAGATAAACATAATCTAAGTTAAGTGCAACGTCTTATAGTCTTCCTGTCTTCATCTTCATCATTGAGCAAGCTATGGGCAACAACTCCTTGCTTCTTTATAATTCTGTCAAGATGTGTATGATTGATAGTTTGAATAACATCTCATAGAATTCTTTATTTTCATCTCATTTCTTCATTAAGCAAGATATGAGCAACAACTCCTTAATTTTTCATGATTCTGCCAAGATGTATATGATTGACAGTTTGAATAACATCTTGTAGAGTTCTTGTTGTTGTTATAATGGATGATAAATTTTTGGTTGTGTTCCAATAATGACAACTTTTTTTTATTGAACACCAACAACGTTGCAACTAGATATGAGCAAGTTGCGACTTGTAACTAGCATCTTCCAGCATATGTCATAAGCAGTCAGCTGACCAACATTTTTAAACATATGATTCTTTTCTTATATAGTCAAGCAAAATAGATTAGTTAGTTATTTGAAAAAGAGTCGTTGCAAATAGTATTGCTACGTCCTTATCTCTTCCACACTTTAAGTTAGTGGAGAGGAAGTGGAATAAGGCTTTTTCGTACTGTGTACTATTGTACCATGTTACCTTTATATTCTTTCCTTCTACACTTCAGAGGCTTCTGCGAGCATGAAGTTAGAAGCGGGAGCATAACATAATGTCTTCAGAACTTCAAGTCTTAAAATTCTTCAGAACTGCGTCTTCAGAGTCTTCAACACTTGGTTATGAGAACCCGTTGTAGCGAACCTTGGATCAGAAGAGCTTCAAATCTTCAGAGTCTTAAGAGCTGCGTCTTTAGAGTCTTCAGAACTTGGTCTTGAGAACACGTTGTAGATAACCTTGGACCTTTAGAACTTCAAGTCTTTGGAATCTTCAGACCTTGTCTTTAGAATATTTAGCACTTGGTTCTTTATGAAACCTTGTCTTTAGAACCTTGTTATTAGAAACACAAAGTATTCAGCATCTGGACTTCAGTTAGAAACATTGTCTTCGGATCTTTTAACTTTGTCTTATTTGAAACAAATTGTCTTTTAGAAACTAAGTTTTTAACATCGGGACTTCAATAGAAACTTTGTCTTCAGATCTTCTAACTTTGTTTCTTTGGAAAAAGTTGTCTTTTAAAAACTAAGTTTTTAGCATCTGGACTTCAGTAAAAACTTTGTCTTCAGATCTTCTAACTTTATTTCTTTGGAACAAACTTTCTTTTAGAAACATGAGTCTTCAGCATCTGGACTTAAGTGACAACTTCTGTCTTCAAATCTTCTAAATGTTTCCTTAGAACACGTAGTCTTTAAAAGCTTGAGTCTTCAGCATCTGGACTTAAGTAACAACTTCTGTCTTTGGATCTTCTGACTGGTTTCTTTAGAGATAATATACTCATTTGTTATACAAATATAATCATTTTTTATCATCAAAACTCAGAGATAATATTGCAGAACCAAATCTTGTTCTTACAACTCCCCCTTTTTGATGATGATAAAACTATGTATTTTGATGACACAATTTTGTACATATAATCATAATAAGTGAAATTAAAAAGGTAAGAAATAATTATCCTTTTTATGATAC